CTTTATGGTTGCAGAGTAAGAGGATTTAGGATTGAGTACCGATTGACTTTGATTCTTTATCATATTTTTACTTAAAATGTACTTTTGCTTGGGGCAATTAGATAGGAAGATGTGAAGTTCCTATGAAAACGCAAGAAAATAAAAAACAAAAAATACGAACCACCTAGGCTGTTAAGATTTTGCTTATTTTTTTAATTATATTGCAGGGCAGTGATTACCATATGACAGGTACTATATTTTCTCCAGGCTTTCACATACCTAAGATTTCTGGTGGGAAGATTGCAGGTGGAGGTAGGTTATATATATCATAGTACCTGTCATGTGCTTTTGCTTTCTCTTATGTGATCTTAATGGATATATTCTATTTGGTTGACTTTATCAAATTCTTTTGGAGGGAAGACTCAAAAATTCATCAAGATGGTGGAATAGAGGAATCACAGATTGCTATGCTGGATGCTCTTATTACTGGAGAATCTCTTATGTCTACTTCTGGTGATGAGACGCTTGTTGTAGACACGAATGCTGCGATTTGTAATGCAGATTTAGGAGCTGTCCTTTCATCTGAAGTTTCAGCCATATACCTTGCCATGAAAAACTCAAAATTGGAATGTATTGATGAGCATGGTCAAGATTCTATGTCAACCGATGTCTGTGAGGAGGATGAATACTATGAGGAATTTGATGACTTTGATCCTTACTTATTTATAAAGAACTTACCTGAGTTATCATCTGTTGTCTCTACTTTTCGGCCTGTACTGCTACCTAAGCAGACCCGTAGTTGCCCACCCACCACTCTTGTCTTGGACTTGGATGGTAAGAGTACTTTTAGATAACTAAAGGATGAATTTTTATGCTTATGGTTGTGGTTTTGGCAATATTTATCAAACATGAGTTTTGACTCTTAATTCTTAATTATCATGCAACAAGTTTTAGATTTATATTTTAATCTCTTGTCAAGCTCTTTGACTTGAGTGAGTGGAAATGCTAATTATTTTTTTGTACTTTATGCTGCTTATGCTCCTTAGGTTTTTTCTGCTTTTTCCAGTTAAAGAAGTCTTTTACCAATTTCGTGGCAGCTTTTGTCTGCAATTATAAGTCATCAAAATCTGAATTCCATACTGAATATTATGTTGCTCTGTCAGTGAAATATCATGTTATAATTCTGTGTTGGTTGTTGGAATATTAGGGGAAAGTAGGTGCTGAAAACCTACTGTATTTTTCCCTTGTGTTAATATTGATGCAGATCCAACTTCAAACTGATTTTGCTTAAGATTTAAACTTAATTTTAAGTGTCATTCCTATTTATTAATATTTACTAGGCATGTTTGTTTTTAACATTTGTGTTTTAGCATTGAATTTTCTGCCTGTAATTAGTGATGATTACCCTGGGGTTTTGATTGAATTGTATTGCTTGGCAGAAACTTTGGTGCATTCCATGCTAGAACCTTGCGATGATGCAGACTTTACATTCCCTGTAAATTTCAATCTTCAGGAACACACTGTTTATGTTAGATGCCGTCCTCACCTAAGGGATTTTATGGAAAGAGTTTCCAGTCTTTTTGAGATTATTATATTTACAGCTAGTCAAAGTATTTATGCAGAGAAACTTCTAAATGTGCTTGATCCAAAGAGGAGAGTATTTCGTCATCGTGTTTTCCGAGAATCATGTGTTTTTGTAGATGGCAATTACCTTAAAGATTTGTCAGTCCTTGGTCGTGATCTGGCACGTGTTATCATTATTGACAACTCTCCTCAGGTACTTCTAGAGTTCCTATGGTACATGGACTTTGTGCTAGCGCTTCTGCTGTGTGATGGAAAAAAGAAAAAAAAAGAAACCTCCATAACATGGGGGGAAAAGTTACTTTTTAAATACACCAACGCACACTCAGCATGAATGTATTAGTATTTGTCATGAAGAAGATTGATCTTTGCTATGGTTCTCACATCCAGGTTTAATACACGAGACATATACACACCATTATATCTTATTGGTTATTTCATTTGTGTGTTTGATTACACTGGCATAAAATTTGATGACATCCATCCTTTCAATCTCTTTATGGAATTCTTAGTCTGTCTTTTGGCAGACAATTTTTTTCTTGAGAGAATTTGAAGTGAGCATACCTAATCCTTCCAATGCTTGTCTATCGAATGGCATCTACCCTGGGAATCATGCCCAGGATCCATGAGAATTCAAGACTGTGGAGTCTGATATTTTTCCTTGTTTTGGTGAATAGCTCTCTAGTATCATAATCATTGCTGTAACACTCTTGATAATGGAACTAAGTTCATATGCATTTGAAATTGCATGGAACCATGCCAATTTCTTATAAAATTGTTGTGCCCTGTATAAAGACATGATAAGCATTGTTACTGAAAATTTAACCAAAGTGCTTGTTGGCTTTCTTCTCAGGCATTTGGGTTCCAAATAGACAATGGAATACCAATTGAGAGCTGGTTTGATGACCATTCAGATCAAGAACTGCTTTTACTACTTCCATTTTTGGTGAGCTTGGTTGGAGTTGAAGATGTCAGGCCAGTGATTGCAAAGAAATTCAATCTTAGAGAGAAAATAGCTGCAGCTGTTTATCCTCCTCTAAATTCTAATAGAGGAGACCCCTTTGAAAGGTGAACTTTAGTGTGAACTAATCTGCAAGTGCAAGCTATATAGTTTGAATAGGACTGATTTTGTCCTATATCATATTTCTAAGAATATCATTCTCTTTGCTGAGGCTTGAGGGCCTTTTCATCATCGAGGTTGGAAATGGATAGTTTGATTCCAACCAGAAAGGAGAGAAATAAATCTAGGTGCATCGGACAGTCTGAAGAGATTAACATAGGTGACAGTGTGCAAAACTTCTTTATAGGTAAATCTCATTCTCTGAATGATAGCCTAGAAATAATTTTCTTTTGTAATACATGCAAAATATATAGAATTGTGTTATAAGATGAAAAGTGATTGAAAGTATCCCTTATTTCCGAACTCTCTTGGGTAATTGTTACCAAGAGACTCTTTAAACATTGAACTTGGATTTGTATTTCTATTATTTGCAAATCTCTTTATTTATCATTGAAAAATGATGACACTATTCTGATAAATCAGTGCCTTTCTTTTTGCAAATGCTTCTCTGCGTGCTTGTTTGGGATCAACCTTTTCTTCTGTCTTACATGCCGCTTTGCTCATGGTTAGATCAGTTTATTTTAATAACGACATGATTATCTAATAAGAAAGATATAAGAATGATATAATTTAATATTTTATAAAAAATTATTTATTAATTTAATAAAAATAAAAAATTATATTTTATATGTTCATACAAATTATAATAAAAGCAAAAATAGTCGTGGTAAGACAGTGACGAGCTAAAAAAAACCTCATCCCTGGCGTAATGTTATCATACCTGTTTGAATTATCAGTTTTATGTTATGAGCCGATATGCCTGTTATTCATTTCGAGTGCTTGGTCGATGAAACATAGGTGAAGCACAAGCTACCACGTCAATCATATAGGACCAAACACCGTTAGTATCCACCTAAAATAACAATTTCAACCCTCATCATATGTCAGGCTTCTCACTTCACACAGCATTTGCAATTATAGTTTAACTGTAGCAAGTGTCTTTTTAACCATGATTAAATTCCACATACCGATCTACCATAAATAGCGGCTTCCCAAGCTCACTTCTCTCCCGCCATTACCTACAATTTGTTTTTTTTTTTATCTCTAATTTGATTCAAATTTCCGAGCCAAATACTGTTTAGTTCTCTCTCCAAATTTCTCTTTCTTATTCTTCTCTTTGACTTCTCAGCTTCCTCTCTCTATCTCTTTCTTAAAATTCTCCAACAATGTTGATCTTTGAAATCACTTTGAATCCGCTCTTTTTCGGGTTATCTTCACAAATCACGATGCCACATTTTCTTTATATCCTCTCCACTCCAATCTCGTTTTAACTTTTGTCGTAGCGGAGATCACCGAGCCGGATTCCCTTCTTCTGGTAATCAAAACTATACAGTTTTAGCTCATTTTTTCTTGCCCTTGATTTTTGGCTTAATACAGCGTCGAGTTTGCTTGTTCTCAGTTTTATACTAAGTTACTAGTTAACTTTTTTCTCTATTTATGCTTGTTTGATTGGATTATATTTCCCTTTTTTTTTTCCTTTCAAATTTTAAGTTAGCTGATCAAAGTCGGTCTGATAAATGCAACATAGGCAGAAATGAAAATCTCTTTTGTCGTTGTTTTTCGCTGAAATTTAACCATTCTAAGAAACTCGAATCTTAAATGCTTTTATATGAACCAAATATACTTCAGATCCGAACATTTTGAATTCCATTTTTTACTGCGATGAAAATTTGGCGCGTAACTGAAAATGTATGGTGAATTCAGTATGTTTTCCAATAATTTGTGACTTCATCTGCATATTAAATCTCGTCGTTTATGTTTTTAGAATTCTGATTTCTTATATTTCATCTGTTACTTCACGAGAAAATGTGCTCTTTTTTTTTTTTTTCCTGTTGTAAATTTTGCTGCAAAATAATCACAGTTTCTCATTTTTATTATCAAATAGTTAGACATATAAGCTTTTGATATTGAAGCTTATATAAAGAATTTTTTAAAATGGATCTTGTCTTTCTTGATTGATTTTTCTCCTAACAGACGAGGAACCTGCTTCCTATTGCTATATTCAATTATTAGCTATATCATAGGCCTTTTTCCTGAAAAGTGTTTCAACGATAAATCCATTCCTGCTTTAGGTTAGCTTCTTCTTCTAAGATTTTCTCAATTATCTTTTTAACATTTTCAAAATCTGTTGGCTACTTTCTTTAAAAATCGTGACAATTATCAGCAGAGACGAAGATCAAGAAGCTAATGCCGTTGGATGCAGAGTCTCGTAGACTGATTGATCGGATGAAGAAAGGCAAGTTGTTTTCATCTGATTCTTCACTTTTTTTTTCTCTTGGCATCTTGACTTTAATTATTTGACTATGTATATCTTATTCTCAGGCGTGTACGATGCAATGCAGAAAAAGTACCTGAAAACACTATTGTTCTGCGTATGTGAATCAATAGATGGAGCAATGATTGAAGAATACTGATGTAATGTTTCTGAGTTACCTTTCTTTATGGTTATTTTTGATGCTTTAGTGATTCAATTCTTGAATTAACAAACTGATGTTCCATCTCAATGCAGTTTCTTTTAGTTCCTTCTCAAGCAAGGAGGGACATTCAAGTGTAACACCACCACTGAAGTTACTCCCAATCAAATGAAGTGATATAAAATTGATTCATTCCAAACAATTTAATTTTCCATCTATTGTTGTTTGGAGATAACCTTTTTCAAGTTATAACTTCTGTGATAATTTTAAATTTCAGGAGTTCTGCTTGTAAAATGGTAAGTATCTGGATAAGATGCCTGAAAAGGTAAACATTTAGCAACTGAACTTTTTAAATATTTATTTTACATTGAACTGAATTTACTATTGTTAATTGTGAAATGTTCTGTGTCTGCTTCAGCGTAGTATATCGATGGAACTCCTCTACTATGATGATGTGACAGTATGCCTTTCTTATTTTCGTCTTGAAGACTTGGTTTCATGTACCTTGGTCACTAATGTAGTTTAAAATTTCCCAATTGTTCAATAAAATATGAGAAATTAATTATCAAATTCTTATTCTCCATGTATGTGGGTTTGGTGGTTTGAGCATGTGTTTACTTCTTCGCCCATTTGTCATAAAAGTGATGAGCTGCCGCATTCTAGTAAATTCTAATGCATATTAAACTCAAGCAAAGTTGTCGTCTAAGTGATGATTTTTCCTGTTTCACATAACAGTTTCGGCAAAGGTTTTTTAGATCATGCGTTAATTTCACCACACACATCCATTGGACTATGTGCCTCCATTCTTTAGAGCCTGTGCGGAAGGAGAAGCTCATACTCCATTGGCCAAAATCCTTTAAAGATGGAGGTTGGAAATGTCAATAGCTAGCACTTCTTATTAGCTCTCAAGGTACGGGTTTAAGGCTTTTTGGATGCTGGGATCAGATTTTTGGTGCGTATATCAAAGTTTTCATTACTGGTGACTTGTACAGGTGAAAAATGTATTTGATCCTTGTGGAGATGAAAATGATGACATTCAAGATGAAGTAAGCCTGGGTGCTGACTCTGTTCAGAGAGATGATCTTTTTACTCAGTTAATGAGGTAAAATGACACTACCGTTTGTTCAATTTATGTACCATTGCCCTTGAAAGCATGTGTACTTGAAACCAAATAACACTACCTTATTCAAATAAATTGAGTTGTGTTCTGGTTTTTGTTTAACTTTTTGCTTCCGATTTCAGGTTAATGGATCACGAGAAGACCAATTTATTGTGGCAACAATAGGTAATTAAATTGTTTCAGAGATCCTACTAGTTACCCTGTCCCGCTATCTTGTTCCTATAAGTTCTTGTCGGGAGAATTTGATCAGCGAGTAACAACGGTTATTCTGCCATATAAGCTACGATTAGAAGAAGATAATGGCATGGCTGATGAAGGTGACATTTTAAAGTTATCAGAAGAGGAGTCAGACATTGTAACCCTTGAAATTGATAAGATGAAAAAAAAGTCATTAATTGTTTTTTTTTTTTTCAAATTTCCTCTCACCTTATCTCTTTCTCTTTAAGTTCTTTGATAATCTCTGGGTTCGGTTTGTTTACAACTACTAATCTGTTACCTGCTGCATAAATGATACTCAAGATCTCATGGAAGATGAACAACAATTGGCAAGGGTGAAGGATTGGATCGATAATCGTCATCTTGATACTGTTGAACTTACTGATGTTCTCTCAAATTTCCAAGATATCTCAGTGGTAAGGGTGCTATTTTGTTCTCTTAATTTTGACCAATATGGCCAGAAATAAGTAGTAGGGTCGCATGTCTCTTGGATTCCACAGTTCCTGTATGCATTCTTATTGTCATAATAATCCAGACTTTAATCATACTACTTTGTACTAATCCAGGTTTTGACTGAAGGTAAATGAAAGATTTGGTCCATATTAAAGTTTAAACAAAAAGGGAGTACACTAATGTGCTGGATTTCAACTTCTATAATAATAAGTTTTCTATTTTTTTCTGCTACTGTTTTTAATTTCTTTTGATTGATTTTGGAAATAATGGAAGAACTTGTAAAGGTTGTGTTTTATCAAGTACTGGAAAAGAGAGTTACACCATAAACAAGCAAAAGGTTATTTTCTTTTTAGTTTACTCTTTACCTGCTTTATATCACTCTCCTTGATGGGATGAAAGACAACCACAGAAGTTTCAATATGAGCTATCATAGGCATCTTGTGAGTTGTGTCTATGACTCCTATGGCACATTCTGACTTCATTATTGTAACTTTAGGCTTTGTATCATGCTCTTCCAATGAAATACGTGTCTGTTGCAAAGCTTCAGAACAAGCTGGACGGTCAGGCGAACCAGATTGTTATCCGAAGGCTTATAAATAAGATAACTTGAGATGGTTTTGTTGAAGCTAAATATGTGTTGCCACCCTAGTATGTGCTCCAAATGATTTTAGAGGATTAATCCTGGTAAATTTACTTTGTTATCAATCCATTGTTAATGCAGGCAAGCATGTCATCCACTCCATTCTGACAGAGAAAAAGCTGCTGGAATTCAAGAGAGCATTAAACATTGATGCTATGGTGATGAATTATAATTTTGGTTATGCAACTCTGCAATCTGCATAATGTTTAATTATTCTCCAACTCTTCCTAATGGAGCAGGATGCGAATATCAATGAACCACAACGAGACCAATCATCCGGAATTGCAAAGAATTGGTACTCTATCGAGCCTATTTCCTATTGTTGAGAGTTTAATCCAGAATATGAGTTTCGATCTATGAACATATTTCTTTGTTTACTAGGAAGCAATCACAGATAGACTTAATAATTTGTGTTGTGTTTTGTGTGATATTAGATACGTGTAATAATATGAATTATTAAAATATAAATATGACATAATTATAAAATGTATTTAAATTTTAAATACGAATATGATATATTTAATATATATGTTATATGCGAAATGACATGATGAATATATATATATAATTAATTCATTTAAATATGATACGAATAAATATAGATATACATAAATAATATGGATATATACAAATAATATGATTAATATGAATATATATAAAATATAATTAAAATGATAAAATAATTATAAATAATTTATCATTTACAATTTAATAAATTTTACATATTAATAATATAAGAAAGTATTTACATAAGTTAAAAATAAAAAATTTAGTATTTATTTAATATATATATTTAAATTTATATTTATATTCCCCGTAAGCATGGCTGAGGTTAGTGCCAAATTGAAATCCTTCTTTTTTCCTACTTCATAGCAAGTTTTTACTCTGATTTGACATTGTGCAGAGTTAAATGAAATGTTTCCCTCGCAATTGACCAGCCAATAGCATCAAGGGAGAGCTGTCCCAGGATGTGAGAACATCAGAGTAAATGAGAACTGCGGCGAGGTGGGCACTGTAGTTTGTAATAAAATAGACAAGTAACTGCTTCCTTCTTCTACTGGTGACTATGGTCAGAGAACATGTGTTAATTGACCATAATCAATAGAGTCTGGATTGTTTGATGTAGAAAGTTGGTGAATGTTCATTTGTTGGTACTTTCAATTTATGGGCTGAGAAAGTTCACGTTATCTGCCTAAATGATGGATTACTAAATGAGAATTTACCTATGCAGCCTTCTTAGTACTGTGTTTTGTGGTTTATAGTAATTGGTATGAGATGGTAAATGTTTTCCACTCAGAGGTGAGATTTATTTGCAAGTTGGGATTTATGTGAAAGAAGTCATTGGGATGAAAACGCATGAAATTGGAAGCTCTTTTTTTTTCCTTAATGATTCAACTATGAGAGTTCAGGAAACTTTAAACACCCCGAACTAAACGATTGTAAAGCTCCCCAGCCTGATTAGAGGATTATTCAGAGAAAGGCAAATTAGGACAATTAATCTTTCAATCTCATAATCAAAATGTTGGTTTTGAACCCAAAAAAAAAAAAAAAATCAAAATGTTGGTAAAAACAAGATTATTATAGAAGACATCACTGCCACCCATTCTCCCTCACCAATATATAATATGATTTAAACAAAATATAGAAAACGCCAGGAAAAGAGAAGAAATGACATACCAGCTTCATAAAGCAAATCAACGTAGGAGTCATCAATACAGAGAAGGTTCCTATGCATTTTCCCATGTCCGTTCTCCAACATGTCACCTTTCTCCATGTGTCCATCTGGAAACTTCTATTTTCTGCCAGAAAACTCCTCTTACGAAGGCCCACTTTCACTTCCCCCGTTCTTAGATCCAATATCAGCCGCTGAATCCTATCAACGACCAAGATTAATGGATCTTTTCACGTCGACCAAGATTAAACAGACCGCACTCGCACATTTCAGAAAACTGAACAACAAAAAGACAAAAAAGAAAAAAAAAACTTCAAAAAGGTTACGACCGTGGAGAAGGTTTCGTTGGTCTTCTTTTTTGTTCTTCGCTTTTTCTCTGCTTTGAATGGTTAAGCTTACGGCTTTCTTTTTCTTTTCGTTTCTTTTTTTTTTTTTTAAAAAATTTTCTTGTATTAAAATTTTAGCAGGCAGAGTTCGAGAACAAGAATCAAGACCTGAAAAACCTAGCCTTCGTGAGGGTGGCTGCGATCCACGCGCTGGTTTGCGTGTCTAATCTTTACGACTACGCCAAACAGAACTCCGGGCCGTTGAGATCCACCGTTGGGATAGTCGAGGGTACCGTTACTACCGTCATTGGTCCCGTCTACTAGAAATTCAAGAACGTTCCTGATCATCTTCTTGGCTTTCTTGATAAAAAGGTATTCGGTTTTTATAATTCCCTGTTTGGATAAAAAGTTTCTCAATATCACTTTTTCTTTTCTTCACTGATTTATTGGTGACTAAATGTTAATACGGGATTAATTAAAATCATTGCAGGTAGATGAGGCTTCACACAAACTTGATGAGCATGCTCCAGCAGCAGCTAAACAAGTGATTAGCCAAGCCCAAGATTTGGTTCACAAGACGGCACTGAAGGCTCAGAAAATAGTTAATGAGGCTCGAACCAACGGACCCTGAGGAGCTTTGCACTATGCTGCAACTGAGGACAAGCAGTTTGTTCTATGGAACTCAACCAAGTTGTGGGTTAAACTGAATCACAATTCAGCTTTCCACTCGGTGGCAGAGATGGTTGTTCCCACAGCTGCTAATTTGTCCGAGGAGTATACCCGTCTGGTCAAGGACATTTCTAGGAAAGGTTATAATGTGTTTGGATATTTGCCACTGATTCCTGTTGATGAGTTAAGTGAGGCAGTTAAGCAAGCTGAAGCAAAGGACAAAAGACATGTAGATGCTCATAAATCAGATTAGGGAGTTTTCCTTTTCTTTTTTTTTTTCGTTTGAAATATGCTTTTCTTTAGCTGTCTCTGCTATGGAGAAATCTAAGTGATTTGTAGGTGTTACTGCTGTGTGGGTAGACCGGTACTAGATAGCGGATAGTTTACAGTTGTAAATTGGGTATTGTTTTAACTCTTTGCAATGTGGATCAAATATGAATTGTTCATGTAGGTTCTTCTATTTGATGTTAACTCTCTGGATTTATGACTAACTTATAGAATGGAGCTAGTTTCCTCTTGAAACTAGATTATCTAACATTGCTGCAGGTGTTTTTTTTAAGAACTTTTACATCCGGTCAATTGAGTATAGCTTCCTTTAGAGGCATGACACTAATGTTAACGTTGCAGCCTTGATTAATCCTAAGCCAACTACAGATTTGTTGATAAAGCGATGAATTTTAATTTCCAATTTGCTAATGTTGGACTGATAAAATGTTGAACTATCAGGTCAGTCATGTTTAATTACAACACAGTATTTCTATTTTTTTGGTCCTATTATGGGTGCATGAGCTTGATTAAGTACGGGTTGCTCCAAGTTTAAGAACAAGGTATTCAACTACAACTACTGTCGTGAGCAACATCTTCCCTTCCCTCCCGTAGCTTGTGTTTGCTCAACATGAGATGGTACACGGTAGTACAATTTTGCTATCATAGAAACATATACAAGAAACAACGTAACAACAGAAATAGCAGCTGACTGGTAGTGCATAAAATAAAGCTCAACAACTAATAGGGGCACCAAACCAATCCAAAAATGTGGCTGCAGATGCCATCCCAATCAGTCACCATTTGCTGCTTGTCCTGCCATTCCCATTCACTCTGGATTTAACCACACTCTTCGAGCAAAGGTAGTTTAATCAGGAGGGAGGAGAAATTGGTGACAGCAATGAAATATATAAACAAGTAACCGAGACTGCAAACAAATTGCATCCGTAACACCCTGGATTGAATCTAATGGTAACTAAATAAGCTTCATCAACTAATATAACATATTTCAACCCGTAGAAGCACGGTTGTTTGTCTTGTAGACATCCATTCTTTCCGGGAGTTTCTCTGGCATTAAAAAACGAACATTTGATCGTAGGTTGGCCCGATTGTGAAACTTATAGACCCAACAAAAATTTTTTAATTATAATTTGATTTAATTATAATTTAATTATAATTTTTAAAAAAGGTCAAAAGTAAAAAAAAAAAAAAGAAGGGAAATAAGAAAACAGGAATCGGGGATTTGATCTCAGAGTTGATTATGAATGAATCTTTAGGCTTCATTCATGTAATCATTACAAAATCAAATAAAATCATATAGTTAATCATAAATTAAAATCAAATCACATATTAGATTATGTTAATTTATTTTTCAGAATTAAATGGGTTCGATCCCTGTAAATAAAGACGGATACACAGTGGGGGCATTGGGGTCAGTTGACTCCATTGAGATCTTTGTCCCTTTAAAAATATATTATAAAAATATTAAAAAACTTTAAATCCTTAATAATTCCTCCATTGAATATATATATATATATATATAATATGTAAAAGTAAAACTTTCATTAATTAAAAGTGATAGGTTTTTTAATTAAAAAATATTTTAACGTTATTTAAAAAAAAAGCAAATGAATGGATTGTGAATAAAAATAATCGATTTTCCATTTTCCTCCATCTACCCCATTTGCAACTTTTAGTTTTTCAGACAAAAATAGAGACAACGAGAGAAAAAAATTAAAGAAGTAAAAATAGGAAAAAGAAAGTCTTTAAAGCAAAGAAACAAATTACAAGTTGGTTATCCTCTTCTTCCAACAAGATATTCAAGTAAGTTATTTTTTTATATATAATTTTATACTTAGTCAATCAATTTTTTTAATAAATTTTTATATATAGTGTCTATTTATTATTTGAAATTTGTTATATTGATAAAATAATTTGATAATGTATTCATGTTATTGATAGCATTTATATTTTTTTTATTATGTTTGAATTTTTTGTGTTTTATATATATATTTTATTTATTTTTAGTTATTACTCATTCAACTAATAACTTTAAGTTTGGCAAAGATTAATTTTTATATAGAGATTATAAAATTAGTTAAAAGTTCTATCCAATTTCTTGCATAGTAGTATGGTTACAGTATGTGAATTGCATTTATACTCATATATTTCAAATATATGGTCAGTTGATCTTTATTAACATGCATAATTATATTTTGAATATGTGTTCTTATTTTTTATAAATTACATAAACAAAATTATTTAATTTAATTAGTTATGGAAAAATATCTTATTAAGAGAGAGTTAATTTTTTAAGAATCATCTGAAATCAATATTAACGACATACAACTTTGTACAAAATAAGTTCGTGTTGAATTAAACTTAGATGATCTTTCTTTGGATCCCAGGTTATGAAAAAAAGTTTTGGACTATAATGCTAATGATAGAGACAATGTTCGAAAAGCTTATTTGGAAAAAGGTCCATATCAATCTTATAAACATATTTTTCCCAAAGAAAAATTGGAAAGGCATTATGTTGTTTTATTCCTACATGGTTTAAAGATTATGTTAATTGGTTGGCATATAATATAAGAAATGATGCCGCTTTTTGTTTGTGTTATTATCTTTATAGAACAGATATTAAAGAACAAGTAGGTGGTAATTGTTTTGTTTAAAATTGATTCATAAATTGGAAAAAGAAAGAAAGATTTGATATTTATGTTAAAGGTCCTAATAGTGGCCATAACAAAGCTTGGAAGTGTTGTCAAGATTTGCTAAATCAAAAGCAATATATTAAATTTGCTTTTAGAAAACAATCTGATCAAGCACGAGAAGATTATCGAGTTTGTTTAACTATGACACTTGATTGTATTCGCTTTCTTTTATTTCAAGGTTTGGGATGGAATTGAGAATTCTCATAATCAAAGAAATTTTTTTGAGCTTCTTAGATTTTTTGCCAATCATAATGAAACCATCAATGGTGTTGTCTTGGAGAATGCACCGAAAAATTCAAAAGTGATAACATATGATATTCAGAAAGATCTTGTTCATGCTGCAACAATTAAGATTACCAATTTTATCATGAAGATCTCAGAGATGAATTATTTTTCATTTCACTTGTTGAATCTTGTGATGTTTCAATCAAAGAATAAGCTGCTATTGCTTTGCGTTGTGTGGATTCTAAAGGGCATGTTATTGAACATTTTATGGGTATAATACATATAAGTGATACAACCGTTTTGTCACTTAAGGCAACTATTAAATCATTATTTTCTAAGCATAATTTGAGTATGTCAAGGATTTGTAGGCAAGGCTATGATAGAACAAGCAACAATGCAAGGTGAATTCAATAGATTAAAAATTTTGATCATGAAAAATAATGCATCTGCTTTATTTTGTTCATTGTTTTGCTCATCAACTTCAGTTGACACTTGTAGCTGTGGC